TAAGAAACGTAACACGCTAAAAATAATCTGGGCTTCTTTAGAATGTACGAATGTATTGTATTTTCGCACGTACGTAATAGTTCTTTTTATTGAGACAATGGAAAAATATGGAAATTCTAAGATATTTGTATCATTCATATGGGAAAAAATATTTCCATAAAACTCTTTGGAACACTGAATTCGTATTATATTTTTTCCCAAAATTTCCATGGAATATACTATTCTATAGGATTTTTAGAGGAAAATAACCATGTAGCTCACCTATGTTTTATTCTTCTTAAATTCTGAGTTCTTGCATTTTGATATTATATTGTTTCATTCCAAAGGACTTTTAGTTTGCCTATTTTCTCCAAAACATTTGTAGATTTTCCTCTATTATACTAAGAACGAGTACTACAATAAGATAATGTTAGCATGATATAAGAGTTGCCGCATTAAATTTGTGATGAGTTGAAGCAGAGAGGATATGAGAGAGAAAAGAAGTAGACTATATATTGTAGCGAGTTGCAATATAAGCTCCAACTAACTTTAGAAGAAGGAAGTGGTCAAGTATTAGGCTGCATTCGCGAGACAAGGTTCCCAACCTATATTGTAGCGAGTTGCAATATAAGCTCCAACTAACTTTAGAAGAAGGAAGTGGTCAAGTATTAGGCTGCATTCGCGAGACAAGGTTCCCAACCTTACATCTAGATACGGAAAATAAAGCACACGATTATAGTGAGATTAATTAAGTATTAGCCTAAAAAACTTGAAAATAGATTAATATGATTTTTTAAAGCAACTTTCATATAGAAAATTTTTGCAAAAATACACCGTTTAGTAGTTTGAAAAACGTGCGCGTGGAAAACAAAGAAGTGAGTTAGAAAAGAGGGGAAAAGAACACAACCTTAATGGTGTTAGTATGTATCTAAAGCTGTACGACTAGCCATGAAGTGTGCATAGGTCAACTGGTTAGGTTTTTTAGTCATTTAACTTAACAAAGATGATCGTATTTACGGCTAATTATATTTTAATGGTAGATGATGTACCAAGTCGATGATGTGTCGGTAGATATCCGAGGAGGGTGGCTACACCGCAAAATGGCACCGAGTATCCGAAGCCAGCACCACAGGTGCGTGTGTGGTGTCCACGCACGGTGTAGCCCACATTGGATTCTACTAAACCCCTACTTAATTTAATTAACTCGCTAATGGTGATGGATGACCGTTGATGCTGCTTTTATTAAGTGTCGTACGGACGATCTCTGGGTTACAACTTGATAACCAAATTATATTTGGGTTTAGATTAGTTTAGTAGGGATAGTACTCCAAATAGCCAGGCAACGCCCTCGTGGGGCTCCCAAAGGACGTGATTGAAAATATCACTATAGCGTCAATTATCTAAGGCCTCTTTCGTGTTTCAAGGAACATCTTACATATCATATACAATTATGTGACGTGGGCACATAAATCGATTTATTGCTCTAGAAAATTTTGCCTACCATCGGTAGGGCGAATGATGATTATAAGCCGTTAGGTTTATCAGTGAAAAATATGTGGATAAAAGTTTATATATGTGTTACTAGCGCTGAAAAATAAAACTTCGGTAAAAAAAGAGTAAAATGCACCAGCGGTCCTTAAACTTGTCAGGAGGTTTCACTTAGGTCTACGAACTTGCAAAGCGCATATTAAGGTCTCTAAACTTGGTTTATTGTATCATCCCGGTCCAAAGCCACGTTTGACCGTGGTCTTGCCTACGTGGCACGCCATGTGGACGATGACATGGATTTTTTTTTATTTTTTCTCTCTTCTTCTTTTTTTTTTCTCTTTCTTCCTTGTTGAAAAGATGAAAATGCCTCATACATGTCATCGTCTTTTCATAAAAGAGAAAAGAGAAGGAAGAAGGGAGAAAAAATAAAAAAAAATCCATTTCATCGTCCACATGGTGTGCCACGTAGGCAAGACCACGGTCAAACGCGGCTTTGGACCGGGATGATACAATAAACCAAGTTTAGGGGTCTCGATGTGTGCTTTGCAAGTTCGTGGACCTAAGTGAAACCTGCTGACAAGTTTAAGGACCGCCGGTGCATTTTACTCAAAAAAAATCAAAATTAACTTTTAAAGTTCAAATTTTGGTAGCGGCTTATAATATGTAGGGCAACAAATGCATGAAATATCAGTTAGATTTACACATACATGAAGGGGAAAAAGGGAAAAATCTGATGAAAATTAAATAGGAGAATAAAAATAAAATCACTACTATATAATTGATTTTTCTGGACAAGATCCCTTAAGGTTGCAGGCGGACCATAACTCGTTCTATCTGTAAAAATCACTCCCTCGGGTCGGTTGAAGGGTCGCTTGCGAAAATGCATTTTCGCATATGGTCGCTTAAGAGGCTCGCCTGGGAAAATAACTTGAGGCCCATCTGCGAAAATAGAGTTATTTTCCCAGGAGGGCTCCTAAGTGGCCGTATGCGAAAATGCATTTTTCCAGGCAGGCCTTTAAGAGACCCGCTTACAAGTCTGACCTTCCCCATCTCTTCCCTCTCAGCATCGTCAAAATTTTCCAAGTCCCCATTCTTATCACTCTCACCTCTCTTTTTTCACGGCCTCCCCCTCTCTCCACATTCATTTCTCTCCACGCTCTTTCTCCAACTTCTCCCCTCCTCTCCCACTTCCTACTCGGGCTGGCGGCGGCGGGCTTGGGTGATGGCAAGAGTGGTGGTGGCGGCATCGATGAGGGATGCGGTGAGCTCGGGCGGCGACGGGCTCAGCCTTGGACCATGCAAATCCCGTTGTCTCTCCTCCCCCTCTCCCTTGGCTTCTTCTCTCCTGACAGCTAGCGGGCGCGATGCTGCGGATTCGTCGGCCGTGGATCCGACCGGGATGGATCAAGTGGCGGAAGGCTCGAGCGACGGCGGGAGTGGCGCAGTCGATGAGGGCTGCGGCGGGCTTAGCCTCTGACTGCGCGAATCCCGCCTTCTCTCCTCCTCCTCTCCCTTGGTTTCTCCTCTCCTGATGGCCGGTGTGCGTGGGATCCTCCGCTGCCGCAAAGGAGTGGGGGCGGCGGGGCAGATGGGCTAGGGTTTCAAGTTTCTACTTTTGGGATATATATATATATATATATACTTTATTTTTTTTTGCAAATTTTTGTTTTCGTATGGGGACGACATAAGCACCACATACGATAAATGGATTTCCGCGCGCGGGTGCACCACTGTATGGAAAAATCACAATTTTTATAGACACCTCTGCGCAGATGGACGACCCAACCGCATGAAAAAATAGGTTTGAACTGCATGCGAAAATGCATTTTTTTAGTGATTGCTACCTTTTATTCAGTTAAAATTGTCCTTTTGTCCTAATGCAGATCACATTTCCACTTCATTGCACTATATGTAACCAAGTCTCTTTTAGGATTTTTTTCTAAAATCATGTGCACCATAGTTGAAGGAGACGAGAATGCAACTTTGGAAACAATGAAGCACCGTAAAACATGTGTGGGCGTGTGGTAGGCACAGCTTGTTCAATTGTCGTTTTGAAGAAAACGATTGGGCATTACTTACTAAACGCGTTACACATTAATATCTATATATTTTTGGAGGCTGATTGCCACAAACGTGGCAAATATTTATATTGGGATGTTTCCATCACATTTCAAGATCCTTTCAATGTTTTCTTTTCAAAACGAAGCTTTCAATTCTTAAATTGCAAGGGCACAAGACTAGAAAAATCCAAAGTAACAGAAAAGACACATACATGACACAGTGACTGGACGAGGCATCCTATTCACTTCTACCTCAAACTCTAGGAGAGTGTCTTTTCTTTATTTCTTTAAAAAATATATGTTCTTTTAGGATAGAGATACTAACTCCGTTTATAATCGTTTCGTATTATAAGTCATTTTAAACTTTTTAAGTTTAACTAAGCTTATACAAAAAATATAACAATATTTACAGCACAAAACAAATATATTATTAAAACATATTCAATATCATATTTAGTGAAACTAACCGGATGCTATAAATGTTGTTAAATTTTTTATAAACTTGATCAAATTTAATTTGAATATAAAAATAGTCAAAACGATATATAATATGAAATGGAGAGAGTACTTAATGAAGGTTTATTTCCCCCGACAATATCTTGCTCATATGTACGAACGCGTATGATTTTCCGTACGGCAATAATATACGATGGAAGAAGATACCGGTGCATACAGTACATTTGTACGGTCATACGGTGTACCATCCTACCCACTAACAGGATGTGCCTCCTTAAAGGAAGCTATCAACTGCACTGCGTTTGTTCCAAGCACAAGCGAAGAAAAAAATGTACGTTTCCTGAATCGCGAAATAATATTTTTCTAAAAAAATATATTCAAATGTTGTTTTAAAAAAATTATAATTACTAATTTACTTTTTAAGTTTAAAAATTATACTAATTCCGAGAATGGATTAGGCCAATATCATACGCTTGCCCTCATTTTGTATGTATTCTCAAACTTCTCCTTTCCTCTTCTCTCTAATTTGGTCGGCGAAACAAATTCCGCCCACCAAAAGGCCACGAATGAATTTGGCCCACAAAAAAATCACGACAACAATAAATTTGGCCTACTCCATTCTCGCCAGCGAATTCGGTCCACGATTGAATTTGGCCCACTTAATTCCCATAACATGTCAGGCCCGCATCTGAATTTAGCCCACTTAAATCTTACCGAAAAGTCGGCCCATTTAGTTCTCCTCAAAGAATCCGTCCCACAAAACAGAATTGCCCCACCTGCGATTTTGCGAAGAATTTCCTGTATTTAATTTTGGGATTATTACGAGAAAATAAAAAATCTATAACTCTATATATAATAATAATAATAACTAATATAAATATTTGTATTTTTCCGGTCGTCACCTCATAGGTGCGGTGTTTTTTTCGAAATAACTAATACAAATATTTGTATTTTTCCTGGTATAGATGCATTCTCTACCAGGACAGCCGCAATTCACTCGCAAGCTGAGCACACCACTAGCCGAATAACCATCAAATTGATTTTATTAGTGGCAGTGCAATTTGAATAACTAGTCGCTCACGGCGCAAGCATACAAAATACACTGTTTATTGGACACATGAATAACACATTCATGTTTGTTTAGAGACCAAACTTGGATGTGTTTTGCAGACTAGTGCCATTGCAACGCATCAAGGGCCTGCTTGTGGACACGGGCGTCTCCAGATGCCACCACATTGAAACCTACAAAAAAAAGGCAAACGGGGAGAGTTCAGCATGATATGTATAAACAGGAAAAGTGCACAACTGAAGCGGCACAAAATTTTATTAAAATTATAATGCAAATATTGCTTCTCAGTTGCATCAAAAGTGGGAGAGGTACAATGCAACTATGAAGAAATTGAAATAGACTTTGTAGAGTCGTAATGCGAAGGCTGGAAATTATACTTTCAGGCCGTGATTCCGCAGAGACAGGCCAATGGAGCTTGTTTCCTTTCCAATCTGTTATTGAACCTCCAGCTCCTTCAATGACTGGTACCAATGAGAGAAAATCATATGGCTGCACAACAGAAGAAATAAATTACTCGTAAAACAACTTATATATAGTAATTCTTCTTGATTCAATATTTCAATGAATACAAAAGGATGGTAAACCAAGTATTGCTTCCACACTAGCCAAACCAAGACACACCACACTAGCCAAACCAAGACACAGACGAAATGAACCCAACTTAAATAGCTCAAAACATATTCAGCTTGCTTGGGCAGTTTGTTCCCAGCCAGATAAGTGAGTGAAAGAACAAATCCTTATGTGATTATAAATAAAGAAAACTATTATTTTGCAACAGGAAGAAATACATAAACAGGGTAGACTCATACCTTCAATCCTGATTCAACAACAAGATCTACAAAACCAGAGGCAAGAAGAGCATAGGCATAGCAATCGCAACCATACAGTGGGACTTTGACCTGCATCAGAAATAAGTAAAATAGCAAATGTGTAAATGTGTAACATCAATAACTGAGAAGGCTTACTTAACGTAGAGATTGTCATGTTCAATAATCCATACCTTATCCCGTACACGAATAAATGCATCTTCAGCTTCTCCTGCAAACAAATGTGGACTTGTTGTATATCTGGCACACAAACAACACTTGTGATTATACACCACGGGAAGTAAAAATTCAAGATTATAATGTCATGTGTGGTGCTTAATATCTTAGATCCACTCTCCGTTTCAAAACATAAGGAATATTTTGGGTGGACACAAGGACTATTATGGTCTTGAATCAAGGGAATGATGAGAAAATAAATATACCATTCTTTCATAGTGAAAGTGTTACTTATAGATATTAGAGACAAAGACATGACATGTTCGAAAGAGCAGAGTGGCAGGGGGTCAAATGTCAATGAATTCACATATATGCCTTATGTTTCGAGAGAAGAAAAAATTATAAAAAGGAAATGGAGGGAGTAAAATCTAATACTGTATACATACAAGTAAGCTTGTGCCAGGACATTGCAAGGGCGAACAGATATTTCTTGTCCATTTAAGGTTGTTTTCATCCCATCAACCCCAACCCATCTTTCTCTCAAGATTGGCTGATCAATGATGCCAATAACCTAATGAAAGGAAGAACAAAAGTCCAGAATAAGTTATAGAAAATCCTCGCAAAAAAGAAAGAATAAGTAATAGAAAGAGAATATCAAACATCTATACAATACTAAGACCAGGTGTTCAGAAAGAGGACAAATATGAAAATGTGTTCCGTAATTGAAATAATGCTTTGGAAGTTGTATCAAGGTACCATGTAAAGGTAGTTCACTGATGGCAATTCCAACAGATTCAGGTTAATCTATTGAGTGTACATACTTTTACATTACCAAGCATCATTAATTAAATTCTGCTCACAAAGTGGTGAACAAGAATGAAGCAAATACAATGGAAATGAAGATAGCTTGGCATGGGCAAAGAAAATTAGCATACCGGCTTCCCCTTGTACAAGAGTGAAATAAGCGTACCAAACAGAGGCTTGCCTACAAACAAGTAAGCAATCGTCATAGTTACATTGAAATTAGTTTGGCCAACCAAGGATAGCAGTTAAGATTCAATACCAGTTATGAAGCTTTTTGTTCCATCTATGGGGTCCAAAACCCAAACATAATCAGCAGACTTTTCCACGCATCTCCAACCATTTTCCTCACCAAAACTGAATAATACCCAGTAAAGAAAACATTATTAATCACATTGTTATATACGCATCAGAAGTCACGATTGAACAAAACTTGTAAATCATGCCAGGCAAGCTCACACGGCATGGGAAGGGAAGCTCTTCAGAATGACTGACACCATTGCTTCTTCCGCTTCTCTATCTGCAATAGTTACAGGACCTGGAACAGAATTCAGTCAATTCACAGTTGGCAAGCACAACCAAAGGATATTCAGTTTTCAAGCTCAAATGGCAATATTCAGTTTTAGAACTCCCAAGGATAATATAACGCACTCTGATCCTCCTTGTCGATGATCTCGACGCGTTGCCGGAAGTACTTCCTGAGCACCTCCCCTGCGGCGTCTGCCGCCCTCTGCGCCACCTCCACTAGCCGCTCCACCCCTACCCCCTCCTTATCCGCCATCGCCACCTCCCATCCGCCTGCCCTGGGGCTCGCCCGAACCGAGCCCATCCTCCGACGGTGGCCCGTCGTCACCCCGCACGCCCGAACCACCGCCGCCGTCGCCACGGACCCGTGGAGAAGCCCTGCGCGGAGGTGGCGGCGCGGGGCAGCGCGGGAGTGGGGAAGGGGCGAGGTGGGTGGGACGGTGGAGGTGGCCGGGAGCATTTGGGGCAGGGAGGGGAAAGCAGCGGCCGCGATGGTGGGTAGTGGCGTAGCTAGGAATTTTTCCTTGGGTAGTCCTGATTCACACGATCATGTCACGCGCTAAAATTTTCTTGCACCATCAAGCCGATATACAAATACAAATTTAGTGAAAATGTGATAGAAATAATGTCTTACAGCATCCACAAGCGGCCGCATGGTTCTGAAATAACGACGCAATATCACTAATCAGTAACAATTTACCAATCCTACAAACAATAGCACACATTCACTAATCAGTAGCAATTTATAAATTGCATATTCAGTTATTCACAGATTCACTAATCTCTAATCACAAATCGATTTAGGCAGCTGTTCTAGTGGTTTCGTTGATCTGTTCGTTACCTCTGGGCTGAAGGGTGGAGCGCCGGATCGGTGGAGGCGTGGAGCAGCCAAGAGCAGGAGAAGGCGGGCGGCGGCCAAACGGAGACGGGCAGAGGGGAGAACTGGAGAAGGCGGGCGGCGACAGGAGGAGTCGCAGTCGCTCCGACGTCGGCGGCTCAGCGCGGCGCCGGCGTGGACGGCGGGGACGGCGGGGACAATGGCGGCGGCGGGCGAAGAGCGAAGGAGTTGGCGCGGCTGCCTGCTGGACTGGACTGGACTCCCACCAACCCTAGTTGCTTCTGGGCCGTTTGGGCCGAAGAACATAATTGGGCCTAATTTTTTTGGGGGGTAGGGGGGGGGGTCTCTGGGCCAAATTCTGGGGGAGGGAGGGGGTCTCTGCCCATCACTCCGCCTTCTCGACGCCGCGTGGTCGCCGTCCGGCGAGCGGAGAGTGCGGGCGGTGGCGGTGGCGGTGGCGGTGGTGGGGAGGGGACGAGGCGGCGGGGGCATGGTCACCATGTCGGCCGCGGCGAGCTGGACCGCCGAGGACGACGTCCTGCTGAAGAACGCCGTCGAGGTAAGGATTGCCCCCACCCACCTAATTTCCGACCTATTCCTCTCCGTGTCGCCTCGAAACTCCTTCTCCATGGCGGAATTCCGCGGCTGCTGGGGTGCCCGTGGCCCGCGATTCGGGGGGTGAGGGCGTGCCCGATGCGCCGCGCCGCGCCCGCGCGTCTCGTGCGGAGAATTTCGAGAATGTTTCTGAGCCGCTCATTTCAAGTGGACTTTGTAGTTGAGGGTTTTGTTCTGTTGTAATGGGAATTTTCGAATGTTTGGTTGGCTAATCGATGCAGTTTCTCAAGTTCAGTTTGATCAGAGCCACTTCCTAACTGGCAACTGAGATGGGTGTAGAGATTGGGGTGTCTGCAGGTTTTATAGAGTTTAGAATGTTTCTGAGCAGCTCTAATTTCAAGATATTTTTTACTGCTACCGCTAGTCTACTGCTAATACTGTGGATAGGACTTCCTGAATGGTTCCATTTGTGGATTTGGGTAGTTTGGTGGTAGTGTGAGATGTTGACGCATTCGAGTATCTATTGAATAATTGGGTCATCCAATTCAATTCAATTCAATTCAAGTTTGTTGGAATGCTCAACTTGTGTTGATACTTGATACATTAGGCTACTATTGTGTTCGCAAAAATATTAGGTTACTATTCTGTTGTTTATTGTCCACTTTTTCGTCAATCTACTGTATGGTTTAACTTCCGTAAGAACCTTGTAGGGGATTTTTTTTTTGTCAAACTGTTGTTCTTGTGAAGTTGCATAATTAAGAACCTTGTAGGGGATTTTTTTCCCGTCAAACTGTTGTTCTTGTGAAGTTGTATAGTTACTACTGGGTCACCTAGTATCACCAAATCCCAGCAAGTTTTGTCCTAAATGGTCCTCAATTTGATTTAAAATGTTGCAGTGCTTTACTTGCGTTTGATACATTTGTTGCTTAGTCCTTATAGCATCAATCCTGTTCTGACTTTTGAAACTTACAGTACCCAGTTCACTATAAGACTGTTTTAAGAAACATTGGTATTATGATACATGTATTAATTGTGAAATGTTACTATATGAATCTATACACCAAATTGAGGTTCACTATAGTCACACCCTCACTCCATTTTGGGTCCGCCTTGAGCATCATTTCATTGTGGCAACCCTTGAAACTATTGGCATCGCTTTGTTCTTTGATGTTTCTTGGGTATATAGACTCAATGCTACATCTACAACAAATAGTTATAAACCAAGCCCTAGTACCTTCATGCATGACCAGCGCCACTGTTGGTGGGTTTATGAGTTGCAATTAGCTTGGCTGCAGCTATTTGGTCATGTCAGCCACATGACTATAATGTTAGGATGGAATTGGATGGGACTTGGGAGTCCATGGTCCATACTTTTTACTGTTGGGAAGACTTTCCCACTTTCATATGCCATCTTATTTGTATCCTGTTAACTTCATCTTTCTTGTTCTTCTAGGCTGGTGCCTCATTGGAATCCTTGGCTAAAGGAGCTGTATGTTTTTCCCGCAAATTCACTCTTCAAGAATTACAGGATCGTTGGTCCTCATTGCTGTATGACTCAGAGACCTCAGGACAAGCATCTGCCCTCATAGTCAAGTATGAGACTGAACTTTCAACCTCCAACCCGACCAAAGCACATAAACTTTTCTACGTGAGGAGAAAACATCTTTCTCTCAGGAAGAGGAAAATTGAGAGTGTAAAGAATCAGTATTATGCAATGAGAAAGAGAATCTGCCATGATCCATGTTTGGCTGCAGATTTTGGTTATGTTATCACACCCTGTTCATGCCCTGTAGGTAGTGATTGTGTATGTGATGGATTATTTAACTTGTTGGAAGATAATCATTTGATCCATAACGTTAATCAAGCTCCAGATGTTGTAAATGGCTATGGTCACATAGGCGAAAGCTATGCTGATGGACAAGATGTACATGCCAAAGATAATGGACATTATATATCCCATAGAAGGCATGATAAAGCTGCTGGGACAGTGGCAAGTGATGGAAGCACTAATTGTGAAAGTGCAAATGGCTGTTCTGATGTAGGTAAGTTATATGGATACAACTTCATGCCAAAGAACATTCAGTCAAGTGAAAGGAATATTGCCTCTCCAAAGGACCTTTCTGATGTCCAGGACTGTGTGCAGCCTCAGCAACCAATTCTTTGTGAAGAATCAGCCAATGGAATGACAGGGTTAAAGGCTTTACTGAATACTGATCAAGATTGCATAAAACAGAACCAGTTTTCTGGTAACAGCAATGAAATATTGCAAGACCCAGGCTCGCTAAAAGCAATGAGTGAACATTGGTGTTCTCAGGCACCTAGTGCTCCTACTAGGAAGAAGTTTCAGGGTGTTAATGCACCTGACATGCTGACAGATGTGCATCACAAAGAGCAAGAAATTCTTGCCTTTTCTGATGACAAGAAAAAGGAAACTACTAACATTGACACATTTTCATGCAAGGTGAATGTGGAGAATGGAATGTCTGGATCTGGCTTAGACGATGCAACAGAAGGTGAAGTTATGCACTCATGCTTAATGGATGCCAGTCAGGGTGAAGACTTTGAGCTACTTAATAGCGAGAATATTTTGGATTCTTCTCTTGACCCAAATCTGGAAGGTTTAGGCGATCGACATGCTAATGTTATTCTGAAGGACATCTCCAAAGAGCACCTTCTGGACATTCCTCATGTAAGCAGTGCCTGTGGTAACAACACAGATCCAATCCATGAGAAGCATGATGTGGCAGATATTTCTGGAGTGGACATGATATACACAACAGAAGTGCCTTTTCCTTGTGCTGGTATTGTGTGCATATTAAACACCGAAGATCCTGAAATCCCTTGCAATGATGATATCTTTACACCTGGGCCTGTAGCATCCACCTCTACTTGTGACCAGAATTCACAGCACAATATGCATTTGGTTTCTGCCAAACCTATTCCTCCACTAAATGCTGCTGACTTGAATCACACCGACTTGGTTAGTGATGTCCAACCATTGTTACTTACAATGAAGTTGGAACCTTACACCTTGGAACAAAAGGAAACTTTGGTGGGTCTTAATGAATCTTGTACCGTAAGAAGCAAGTCACCTGTTATGCCTGTTGATGCTAGCAATGCAAATGCATGCACATCAACTTTCCATTCTGCTGCAGAATTTGTTAAAAAATCTACATGTGGTTTAGTGCAACATGAATGTTTTGATAACTTGGGGAGTGTGTCTTTGGATGAGTGTATTGGAGTGCTTGATGAAATGAATTCTAAGGTTCCTGATGAGTCAGGAATAAGTTGTGATGCTACTACCCAAAACAGCATTTCAGCGCATGCATTGCCAGATGTGGAATTTCTTAATCCCATAACAACCACTTCAAGCCCAGAAGGGGGAGGATCTGACAGTGAGGACGGTATTCCAAACTATTTCGACATAGAAGCTTTGGTATACTTCTTTCTTGGCTGAATTTATAAGGCTTTGTTTACTTTGGTGCTTCTGACATTTCAAACATCTGCTGCAGATACTTGATCAGGATTTAATTCCATGGGATCAAGAATCTGATTTCATCCAGCTCGAAGGTAAATGTAGTTGAGATCAAGGCTGTTGTGTTTCAGGATTTTCTTAATTGGCAACGGGGTCATATGCTTAGAAGCTGAACTGGGGCTTCTTTATTAGTGTTATTCACTTATTTGCTTTTGCTTGATCAGTTTCCAGGTTTCAGTCTCTTGAAAGTAGGAAAGACTTGATAAGATTAGAACGAGGTGCCCGCTCTAATACAAACAGATCTATTATGTCCCATGGTGCTTTTGCAGTTCTTTATGGCCAGCATTTGAAATACTACATAAAGGATCCAGAGGTAAGCATAAGCAATATTTAATTTAATCTTAATTGCATAATGCAGTAGCAGATGTAATGGTTAGGTGAAATTAAACCCACGTGTATATTCCTTATTCATGGAGAACTAAAGAGTTCTATCTCTGTAGTGAACAGCAAAGGCATTTTTGAGTCAAGAGAATATAACACCTTACTGTTATTTGCCCAATCATATCAACATATGTTTTGTTGTCTTATTTTACTACCAGTTGAATTGTTTAATACGGTGTTTAGCTAACAAGATCATCATGCAGGCTAAGATTGTCATGGTTAATCGATATGTTATAAAACAATTCTTTGATATGATGATACCATCTTTGTTTTTTCTTCTCTTCTGATGCAGGTTACACTTGGGAGAGAAACAAGTGAGGAACATGTCGACATCGATTTGGGAAAAGAAGGAAAGGCGAATACAATATCCCGTCAACAGGTATTTTTTTTTACAAAAAAAAATGCTAATATGGCAAACAGCCTTGGACGGGTGGAGTTTTTATGGAGGTCCTTATTTATTTATTTATTTAGGGACCATTCTCTGTCTTTCCTTCTGTCACATGTCATTTTTCAGACATGGTCGATAACGTTCAACAAAAATAATTATGTACAAGAAAATATTCCCGGGACCTTTTGAACCACTGATATTTCTGTAAAGTCTTCCGTTTTAGTACTCTATGCAAATGACCCTAATTAAGCTTGTGATAATACTAGGATAAGTTGACTATAGCTCCTCTATATGCAAACATTTGAAAATCTTTCCTCTTGTGATACAATCCTTCATATCCGTTTGCTTATTTCAGATCTTATGATTTAAAACCAGGAACTTTATTAAACTGTTACATTGTGCATTCAGGCTTCTGGATATTTGCTTGGAGTAGTGTCATTTGCACCTTATTCCTGTAAATATTAGCAATGGCATCTCTGCTTATTTTCTTTTTGGGGAGTATCCTGTGTAGTAGAAACATGCTAACAAGTATGGAACAAACATTCTAATACTAAACCATTCTAGAGTATCAAAAATATAAATAAGTAGGCGTGTTACAATTTCCTATTTTTACAAACCCTAGAGTAGAAAAGGAAGTATGGTATATTCTTTTTAGTGTATGCAAATATTCAATCAGATCAGATGTACTAATATGTTTGTGCCATTGGGGGAGCCCTTATAAAGGTTGGTGTATATGTATGTACTGTTCAACACTGGTTTAAATAGGGCAATACTTTTAAGTATGAGGCTGATTGGCTGATGCATGCTTGTTGGCTTATTCTTTGAAGCTTACTCATTTTCAGCTTCTCAATGGGCTGCATATTAATCCTGTCCTTCACTTTGGCAATTGTTGTTTTGTTGTCAACTGATTTTAGGATTTGTATTTGAAGTTGTAGTGAATCATTATAATTTCATTTACTTGAACTGCTTTTAGATGTTTGGGGGTTTGAGTAAATTCTCTTGTTCTGAATGAAGTTGGAAACAGATGTCTTCTTGCACCCTAGAACATATTGCATGCATATGATTAGATGATAAGACAAAAGTTGGACAATGTAGTTTATGTAGCGTTTTTTGATTTATCTCAGAGAACTTGTTCTTATCTTTTCTTACTTCATCTTTCAAAATAAGCACGCACATCACAATGTATGCAAATTGAGCCTTAAGCATGTCTGTCCTTAAGGGTGGTTCCCAAATAGTACAACTTCTCAGATTGTTCTAGTTGTGCAGACTGAAACTGAAAATTGTTCCTACACAAGTTTTTTCCATTAGCCAATTTTAACAAAAAAAATCACAAGTTTTAATTTGACAAATATTCGACAAGTTCTTTAATACACTTGCCCTCAGGGGGATATCTGGTTTCCTTTTCCCAGTCAGTTCATGCTGGGGTTAACTCTGGTCATGAGTAGTGTTCTAAAAGTTTGCAGCTGTTTTTTTTGACCGGACGTTGTTTTTGAATTCAATGCCCACCTAGACCCTGCAGTTCTGTTACTCTTTCATTTCTTTCCTCTTAAACAAAAATCACCAAATGTTTAAGCAAATGGTTTTTGTGAATGTCACAGCATTATCTACCTACATTCTTACGTTATAAGTCAGTCTGTGCTAGCTGCCAATATTTGCATATTCATACAGTTTACTGCTTAAGCATGAAGCAAGTTTTTCTCACCATTTTTCTCCACTTGAGTGGTGGAATTCGTCTACTGTTTATATAATTTTATATACTATCTACTACCTGCTTGTTATCTTAGTCATAGTTGCATGATGAATTGGTTCTGGCTGAGTTTAGTCATTTAGGGAATGCCACCTGCACTTTTGGAAAACCCAAAGGAAAACGCTTTATTGAGCAATGGGACATAACTAAATAATAGCAACACTACTCCCAGAAAATAATAGCATATATATATCAAGTTTACTCACCACCCCAGAAGAACGATACTGTTATATTTCAATTATTTGTATCGAATGCTAGTGCAGTTTTTGTTTAATTATTTCATTCCACATTTTGATGCATAGGCAATTATCAAGATGGATAAAGGTGGATCTTTCCACATAACGAATATAGGAAAAGCTCCAATCTTCGTCAATAGCAAAGAAGTTCCATGCAACGAATGCACTCACTTAATTTCTGATGCATTACTTCAGGTATCTATCTTTACCCTCATTTTCTTGAACATTCCTGCCCTGTTAGATTCTACTCTCTCGATCCCATTTGTGTCATCAGTAAAATTAGTAGTTTAAGTCCCATTTTACTGTTCTTAACTAATCATTCTTCCCATTTTTTTACTGTAAAGCACAGTTTTCTCCTGATATTGTCCTACTTTGATGTTTCTTTTGCCTGCAGATAAGGCACATGAAATTCATTTTTCACATCAATCAGGATGCCGTGAGGCAACATATAGTTCGCAGTAGGAGAGGAACCTCCCAAGGCAAGTACGCAGTATTTAATTGGGATGAAAAGCCATGAATTAAGGTTACGATCAAGCTCATGTGTGAATTTATTGTCAGTAATATATATCGGCAGGATAGAAGTATATAGCACCATATCTAATTCGGTCCCATCCTTTGCATGTAAATCGTTGTATATTTCCATGCTTATCATTTAGTATATAATAGATATATGCTCAATTATCGTCTTCAGATCCATATTGTTGTAAGGTGCCACGGTTTTATGTTTGAAATTTGGATTTAAATTTCATCGACAAAAGTTGTTTTAGTGGACTGGGAACTGAATTCTCAAAGATGAACCCCTTGCATGCTTTTCCTTTGTCTCTTTCCGTCATTATCTAATATTCTTTGATGATTAGATAGATAATAGTCGACCTAAATTCCGCAACAGAAAGATGACAGATCGAACATTGGAGTGTTCCAGATGAACATATGAGTTTTACGGGATTCTGATGCTTTCTGTTACTTTTGATGTGCATATGGTCAATGGGTCATCTCGCTCCTTAAACCAAACGGCCCCCCAATGAATCAGATACCTTCATCCACCTACTAGCAGTACTCATCAAGGTGTTCTAGATAATGCACTCTTAATTAATAAAAATGGCACTATAATAAACCACAGCTCACAGTACAGCAGCCTTCAGTTTTCCTTTTCTAGTGGAGCAGTTGAGTTTAGCCTGCGGTTTTTTGAGACGAGCAGAGTAGTTCAGTTGTTAGTATTGTCCTCTTTCTTATGCTACAAGTGAACTTATGCTTTAGTTCCTCTATCCCAAAATAAATTAATCTCATATTAGATATGACATATTTCAGTACGATGATCACAAACTAAGCTCGTACTGTCACATCTAAGATACGAGGTGGTACGATGTTGGTTTATTTGGGACAGGTGGGAGGTTGGTAAGTGAGAATATTAAATATTGTAATATTTTGTAAAGAGAACTTATGCTCTAAGTAAGAATATTAAATGTGAGTCATGAGTCAACGGGGTCAAGCCCCTACAAAAGCCAAGAACCCCAAGCCCTTCCAGCTGCAGACTTGCAGTGCCTCGATCAGCTCACTGTAACAAGATGGGCGGCGCCTTCTCGACGTCGAAGCCGAAGCCCGCCGCCGGCGAGGAGGGCGGCGAGTCCGCCGTGGTGGCCGTCCACTCCAAGGCCAAGTGGGACGAGCTGTGGGACGCCCACAAGAACACCACAAAGCTGGTATTGATCAATATACGCCCTCCGTTTCATAATGTAAAACTTTTTAGCATTGCTCGTATACGTATAGATGTTTATAAATTTAAATACATATATATGTCTAGATTTATTAACATCTAAATAAATGTGGGCAATGCTAGAAAGTCTTATATTGTGAAACGGAGGAAGTAATTTATATTACCCTTAATTGTAGTATATAGTTCTTTCTTCCGTTAATTGATCATCTTTTTCTCTTCTCTTGATCCCCCCGGTTAATTAAAGGTGGTGATAGACTTCTCGGCGTCGTGGTGTGGGCCGTGCAAGATGATGGAGCCGGTGTTCAAGGAGATGGCCGGCCGCTTCACCGACGTCGCCTTCCTCAAGGTCGACGTCGACGAGCTCGCGGTACGTATCCCGGTCGCCGGCCGGCCATGGAAGTTCTAGCTCTCGTCTTTTCTGAATCGAACAGCTGAAGATTTTTCTGGTTGATGGAGCTTTGGCCATGGAAGTTTTAACTCGTCTTCTCGGAGATGGATTCTATGACGTCCACCTGTTTATTGCATCTGTTTATTGCATGTCAATTTGATGGTTACGAAAATTTTTTAAAAAAATTAACAAGATATATTAATATGTAATATATCACTCTACAAACATGCTAGTTCAAATTCAACTTCTATAAGTTGTAATAAAAACAACAAATTTAATTGTAAATATGCAATAGTAATTTAAGTTTTGCTTGTTATTTTTGTTACAACTTGTAGAAATTGAATTTTAAGTTATATATTTATGGATTGATATATTACATATTGATCTATCTTGTTCATTTTTTTTCTAATTTTTTTATAACTATTTAGATGATATGTAATAAATGAATGGAGTACCACTCGAACGGTTAAAATAGTTTCCCTCGTCTTCTCTGAATCTCTGAACAGAACAGCTGAAGATTTCTGAATGATCGCAGGAGGTGGCGCGGACCTGGCGGGTGGAGGCGATGCCGACGTTCGTGCTGGCGAGGGGCGGCGAGGAGGTCGGCCGCATCGTCGGCGCCGACAAGGACGAGCTCGAGAAGACCATCAACACGCTCAGGTCATCGTCGTCGTCGACGGCGACGACGACGTGATTGGTTGGGAGATGCATAAATAAACATGTTGTCATGTTCATCAGTCATCACCACCTAGCTCTGCTGCTGGTTAATTTAAGTACTACCACTACCTTAGTTAATTAGCTCTCCCGGTTTGCCTAATAAATATTCCGCATTGTAATATAGCCAACTTAATTAGTTCGTATGTTCGCGTGTGTTGTGATCGTCTGCTAGTTATGTACAGTCTTGAAGCCTGAGTGCTGGAGCTAATAAAGATTTGCATAACTTGGATTGGATTTTCAAATCTTTTTTACACCATGAAATTTGTCTGAAATTTACTCGTCTTTTTGAATATGAGTGTCTAGTTCTCAACCAAAAGAACAGAATGTGTCAATTCTGTTTGTGTAAACGCCGCAACTCAATGCCCAATTTTAGATGGTCCCACCTGTCAGTTGACAACAGCAGCAGCTAATTAGTAATTGCTACCAGTTCTTGTTACGGTAACAGTGTTACCTCCGACGCTGACACTTGGGTCCCACCTAACTAACTAACCGCAAACCCAGTCAAAGTCCCTCCCACCTCGCGCCAAGTGTCGCCGCCGCCGCGACATGACCCTGCCTCCCTCCGTCTCCGGCTCCGGCGGCGGCGGCGACCTCGAGGCCCACCTCGACGGCGACGTGGGAAACGGCAATGCCAGATCAGACTCCGCGGCGGCGGCGGCGGCGCCGGAGCTCCGGTACCGGGGGTGGAAGGCGATGCCGTTCGTGATCGGCAACGAGACGTTCGAGAAGCTGGGCAGCATCGGCACGGCGGCGAACCTCATGGTGTACCTCACCACCGTCTTCCACATGTCCAGCCTCGACGCCGCCGTCGCGCTCAACGTGTTCGCTGGCACCACCAACCTCGCCACCGTCGTCGGCGCCTTCGCCTCCGACCTCTACCTCGGCCGCTACGCCACCGTCGCCGCCGGCTGCGTCTCCACCTTCATCGTAAGCCCGACATCGCCATTACCGCCGTTGAACCAGACCTTGATCTCCGTTGTATCTTGCAGGGGATGGTCATCTTGACGATGACGGCCGGCGTGCCGGCGCTGCACCCGCCGCCGTGCGGCGAGGGGAGGTGTTTGGGCGCGACGAGGGGGCAGCTCGCGGTGCTCGGGCTGGCGTTCGCGTTCATCGTGGCCGGCGCCGGCGGGATCCGGCCGTGCAGCCTGCCGTTCGGCGCCGACCAGTTCGACCCGCGCACGGAGTCCGGCCGCCGCGGCATCAACAGCTTCTTCAACTGGTACTACTTCACGCTCACCATCGCCGTCTGCGCCTCGTCGACGGCGATCGTCTACGTGCAGAGCAGCGTGAGCTGGTGGGTCGGGCTCGCCATCCCGGCGGCGCTCATGCTCGCCTCCTGCGCCCTCTTCTTCGCCGGCGCGGGGCTCTACGTCCGCGTGCGCCCCGAGGGGAGCCCCTTCGCCGGCGTCGCGCGCGTCGCCGTCGCCGCGTTCCGGAAGCGGTCGGCCGCCGCGCCCTCCGACGCCGACGAGTCCCTCTTCCGGACGCGCCACGCCAGCGGCGTCGTGTCGAGGCTCCCCTACACCGACCAGTTCAGGTTCCTCGACAAGGCCGCCGTCGTGGTCGACGCCAAGAGCGAGGTGGGCGGCGACGGGCACCCCAAGAATCCATGGCGGCTGTGCAGCCTCCAGCAGGTGGAGGAGGCCAAGTGCATCCTCCGCGTCGTCCCCGTGTGGCTCACCTGCATCGTCTACTACGTCGCGTTCGCGCAGACGAACACCTACGTCATCCTCCAGGCGGCGCAGTCCGACCGCCACCTCGGCGGCGGCGGCGGCGCCGGGAGCTTCGAGGTGCCACCGGGCTCGTTCACCGTCTTCCCCATGCTGGCGCTCGCCGTCTGGATCCCGCTCTACGACCGCCTCGTCGTGCCATGGGCGCGCCGCCTCACGGGGCGCGAGGGCGGCATCACGCCGCTCCAGCGGATGGGCGTCGGCATGGCGCTGTCCGTCCTCGCCATGCTCGTCGCCGCCATGGCCGAGAAGCGGCGGCGCGACCTCGCCGCCGGCTCGCCGTCGAACACCGGCCGGGTGTCGCGGCAGTCGGCGTTCTGGCTGGTGCCGCAGCTCGCCGCGCTGGGGCTATCGGAGGCGTTCAACCAGGTGAGCCAGACGGAGTTCTACTACAGGGAGTTCCCGGAGAGCATGCGGAGCGTCGCCGGGTCGGTGCTGTTCAGCGGGCTGGCGCTGTCGAGCTACCTGAGCGGGGTGCTGGTCGCCGCCGTGGAGCGCGCCACGAGGGGCGCCAGCGCCGGGGACGACGGCGGGTGGCTCGCCGAGGACCTGAACAAGGGGAGGCTGGACTGGTTCTACCTCCTCATCGCCGCCATTGGGGCGGCCAACTTCTTGGCGTTCGTCGCGTGCGCCAAGTGGTACAGGTACAAGGGCTCTGATGATGATGACGATGATGACCATGAGCATGAGCAGGTTAACGTTGCAGATAGGATTAGTGCTGCTGCTGCTTAAGCTTAGATTAGTGAGAGATTAGCATGTTGTTGTCTTAATCCACATATCACAATGTCAATCAGGAATATGAGGCTGCGCCGTCTGCAAGGCCTCCTTCTATGTCCACGTCAGTGCAATTTGTTTCTATCGTTCGATATGTCATACACGGTTCGGATGCAATTTGCCAGACTATGCATACACTGGAATGCATGCACTAGAATGCAGCATGTACTAGTGCTTGACAATGACCTATCATATTACAAGTGTACATAATGCAAAATGTATGAGGCTATAGCCCACGTGATCTGTGCACTGCTTTTTGTCTGAGGGTGCATGCATGGATAAGGATGGATGCTATTGGCCATCCATGCAACAAGTTTGCAGGGTGCACGAATGTACGATGGCCTCACTCCCTCGTCCTATATAAGAGCAGCACTACCTTCTTGCACCAGCATACCCACACAAGCACAAGCCATTGAGCACTTGATAGGTAGTTTTTCTCGAGAAATTGTTCCCATCTAGGCTATCTATAGCAGCTCAAAATTAAGGTATGTTCTACAAGTGTACTAGGTGTTATATGCCAACTATGGTATCTTAAGAAATAGTGTTAAATAAATAGTATTAGAATTAACATACAAAATCTATATGATGAGGCTATCTGGTCCGTGCTAACTTGTGTTGTAACTTGGCTGACTATAGCATTGTTGTTGCTACTGATGCTAACTTGTGTTGTTGCTACTGATGCTAACTTGTGCTGCAACTTGATTTTTTTTTTTTGAAAACTAACTTTGAACTGCTTATGAACTAACTATTGATTTATATGCTTAACTTGTCTGCATAAGAACAAGTGATTATCTTAACAACTATTGGTCTAACTCAACTAACTTTGAACTGACTTGTGTTGTTGCTACTGATGCTAACTTGTGCTGCAACTTGATTTTTTTTTTGAAAACTAACTTTGAACTGCTTATGAACTAAATATTGATTTATATGCTTAACTTGTCTGCATAACAACGAGTGATTATCTTAACAACTATTGGTCTAACTCAACTAACTTTGAACTGTTTATGAACTAACTATTGATTTATATGCTTAACTTGCCTGCCTAACAACAAGTGATTATCTTAACAACTACTGGTCTAACTCGACTGACTAAAAGGATTTAACATGGATGATAAGAAAACAATACTACGATAGTTCGTACATTGGACTTTTCTACCTACTACTCAGTTTATTCCATTAATATTGCTCATGCTGAGATTGTTCAGTGTGTTTTCTAATACTACGTTAAATAAATCTGGATATCTTTCTCTCATTTATACATATTATATTGGTGTTTGTAGAGGAAATTATGTTTTATGGATAGTACGCCGCCCACAGGTCGAAAAAGAAAGCGTGCGTCCGGAAAGCAAGCTATTCTTACAACAGGTGCCTTGATATTTTACTTTTATTGGGTTGATGTTACATTTTTTAGTATAAGCTTTTATCACGCGCATATTATCTATAAATCAAACTGAAAACCCGTGCATATGTGCTCAAAATTATATGTAATTTGGATATATAATTTGCAATATCAAATAATACCTTTTAAATGCAGGTGTGAGTTCACACTCTACTGGGGGCACAATACGTGAAAGGCAGCAACGTTGGAGATCCATAATAAAAGCAAAGAAAGGTGGGTAGGTGACTCATATTCAATAAAATAATATATTATTCTATTATCTGTTGCATTAATAACACCTGTGTTACCTCTCAAATTAGGAAATTGTTCATCTGAGTTAAAAAAAAACACAGTCTCTAAACAGCAAGTTCCAGGTAACATCCTTTGATGCATTCGTTCTTACATGCCTCTAAGAAAGATGACTTATTATGAGTTTTCTATTACAAGGGTATTTTATATGTTTAAGTCCCATTTATTCCTTATCATCAAATGATGAGAGCAGTATGAAGCTCATGTGCAATACGATACATGAATGATAAATTTTGTTTGAACACATGGATAATTAAATAAAATGATTCCCCATGTGACATTATTACTCACTCTAATTATTAAATTAAAAGTATATATAGGTGTAGGATGGCCTCTTAAATTAATGCAACCTTAAAAATTAATGGTGCTTTGTTTACAGTTGCCATTGCAGATGAGATTTCCTACTACGGACCTCCTGCCCACGTGTGTCGATATTGTGGTGCCCAGTTTTGGTATCAGGAGCGTGTGAAGAGGTCTTATTCAAGTGACCAGGGTCATATTCGCTTTCATCTGTGTTGTAGGGGTGGTAAGGTTTGCTTGCCATATTTGAAACATCCTCCACCTTTTTTGGCTAAATTGCTAGATCCAAATGGTGACATTTTATCCAAATACTTCCTTAAGTCTATTAGATCATACAATTCTATGTTCGCTTTCACGTCATTGGGTGCTAAAATTGACTATGGTATAAACAAAGGCCCGGGGCCATACGTGTTCAAAATTAATGGCCAGGTTCATCATAGGATTGGATCTTTACTTCCTGAAGAAGGTGAGTCTCTAGGGTATGCACAACTTTACATCGTTGATACTGAGAATGAGGTCCATAATCGCATATCAATTTTTGATAGAGATAGGGATTGTGATGATGATAATGGAGTCGACAAAAAGATAGTTGAAGGTTTAATAAGAATGTTCGACGAATCAAATGAGTTGGTAAGATCATTTAGGGCTGCTAGGGATCTTCTACAAGAAGGGCAGAGTGAACCTTTGCGTCTTAGGCTATTGCATGACCGCTCTAGAACTGCGGCACAGTATAGTGCACCGACTGGATCTGAGATAGCTGCTCTAGTGGTAGGTGATTTCTCAGAAAAAAATAAGAGCCCTGATGTAATAATTCAGGAGAGAGGTGGTGGTCTACGTAGAATTAGTAACCTCCATGCTAATTATATGTCTTTGCAGTATCCTATTCTTTTCCCATATGGTGAGCAAGGGTTTAAGCTAAAAATTAAATACAACCGTTCTGGGGCATTGCGGGTTGGAAAGAGGGACGAGGTTACAATGCTTGAATATTATGCTTTCCGGTTGCAGCAGCGTAGATGTGAGGCAATAACATTGATTAGTGGTGGCCGGCTGTTCCAGCAATATATAGTTGACTCTTTTGCATCAGTGGAGGAAAATAGACTTAGGTTTGTCATTAGAAACAACAAGAATTTAAGGTCAGAGATTTACAAGGGGATCCAAGATGCCTTGCACAAGGGTGATGTCGATGGAAACAATGTTGGTAAGAAAGTTATTTTGCCTGCTAGCTTTACAGGAAGTAAAAGATATATGGTACAAAATTACCAAGATGCAATGGCAATTTGTAGGTTTTATGGGCCACCAGACCTTTTCATTACTTTTACTTGTAATCCAAAGTGGCAGGAAATAGCTGATGCTCTTGCATTTATTTTAGGGCAAAAACCAGAAGATAGACCTGATATAGTAAGTAGAGTTTTCAAATTGAAGGTGGACGAACTTGTTTCTGTGTTGAAGAAGGGTACTTATTTTGGGAAGGCACGGGCAGGTATGATTACTATTAATGGTGTTCCAGAATTTTTTTAGCTGAAAAAGATATATAGCGCAAGTTCAAATTATTAATTAAGCGTTTTTATGAATATTTGCTAAATATTAATTCATAAGTGTGGCATATAATATTTACCAAATTAGATATTATTTACTCCAGTCAGGGAAGAGAAAATATTTGCACTCACCATGCTGTATTAATTCATAAGTGTGGCATATAATATTTACCAAATTAGATATTATTTACTCCAGTCAGGGAAGAGAAAATATTTGCACTCACCATGCTGCACTATGCACACATAATTTGCTCCTACTCTGTATACAATAGGGATCTCTACTCTTGCTCTGTTTGTTTGTACTATGTGCAATTTCTATATCCTACTTCTCCACGTGTTGCTAGGCATGCATGCATCGATGTGTGTCATCGATGCCCTTTTGTCCGGTTGTTAAGTAACATTAAAAAATTCACGTGTGGAAACCCAGTAGGTACCTACCCCATCAAGTTACACAGGGATTACACAGGGATTTGGTTAGTTTAACCAGCTACTAATTATGTAAGCTATAATTAGCATATTACAACATGATTTTTTGAGCGGCCTGTGTAGTTAAAAAAATGTAGAAAGTTGTTAGTCTGTTCGTCACCATTTTGCAGTGATCAAGGGCTAATTTATTGTATCAACTTGTGTGTGTGTATATATATATATATATATATATATATATATATATATATATATATATATATATATATATATATATATTATCACACCTTACTATTTTCTTTCTATATTTCAGTTCTATACACCATTGAGTTCCAGAAGCGTGGTCTACCTCACGTCCATATTTTGGTTTGGCTTCAAGGTAATACTAAAGATCCACATCTCTCCTTCATTAATTCAATAATATGTGCAGAGATACCCAACAGGTCGTCAGACCCAGAGGGTTATAGACTTGTCGATGAATTTATGGTGCATGGTCCTTGTGGGGATTTAAATAAACAATGCAAATGCATGAAAGATGGTAAGTGCTCAAAATTTTTCCCAAAAAATTACCAGGATGACACAGTCGTGGGTGAGGATGGTTTTGTGCAGTATAGGCGTCGTGCGGAAATAGGCAACTTTGTTGAGCGGTATGGGGTTAAATTGGATAACGCTTGGGTTGTGCCATATAACTTGAAACTATTAAAGCGTTTTCAAGCTCATATAAATGTCGAGTGGTGCAATAAGACACATCTTATAAAATACTTGTTTAAATATATTACTAAAGGCCCAGACCGTGTTAGAGCTGTAATTGAGAGCTTTGGCGCTCACGACCCTACAAGGAATTTAGAAGCTGGAGTTAATAGCAATGACTTTAGTGCCGAAAACTCGAGTGTGAAAGAACAAACTAACGATGTTGATGAGGTCCGAGAATACATTGATTGCCGTTATTTATCTTCGCATGAGGCTGTTTGGCGTTTGTTTGAATTTGATATACATTATAGAGTACCAGCAGTTGAGAGGTTAGCTGTACATCTTCCCTTGATGAATAGCATTGTGTACCCAGCTAAGCGATCATTAGTTGATATTGTAGATGACCCCCGTTCAAGAAAGTCAACTTTGACTGAGTGGTTTTCTGCAAATAAGATATATCCAAATGCCCGAGAGCTAACATATATAGAGTTTCCAACAAAGTGGGTTTGGGATAAAAAGGAGAAACATTGGCATTCTCGTAGGTCGACAGCAAAAAAAATTGGTCGGGCTATCTACATTAATCCTAGTTGTGGTGAGCTTTATTACCTTCGTATGCTTCTAAATGTTGTCAAGGGGGCTACATCGTATGAAGATCTGCGTACTGTTCATGGTGTTTTATACCCGTCATTTAAGGATGCATGTCAGGCACTTGTTCTACTTGGTGATGACAATGAGTGGCGTGAGGCTCTTAGGGAAGCATCTCTGTGGGGTTCAGCTACTCAGATGCGACAACTATTTGTTACTATAGTCCTTTTTTGCTCTGTTTGTGATGCACTCTCCCTGTTTAATGAGTTTTACATTTACTTCACTGATGATATCCACCGTAAAATTCAGTCGATAATACAATTGCTTTTATATACAGTTCCTGAACAACATTTGAAAAATCATGTTTTAGTGGAGTTTGATAATTTGTTTACTAAAAATGGTGCTTCCATGAGTAATTATGGCTTGCCTAAACCTGATCTAAGTCTCTTAAGTAAAGTAAAAAATAGGTTGTTAGCTGAGGAAATGGCATATGATGTTGCAAAACTTAAAAATGAGCATGACACTATGATCAAGCAACTAAATGGGGAACAAAAGCACATCTATGACACTGTCATTCGGTCGGTTTATGATAGAACATGAGAATGCTTTTTTGTTTATGGGTACGGTGGCACTGGAAAAACCTTTCTTTGGAATACTATTATTTCACGTCTACGATCTGAAAATCATATTGTTCTCGCATTAGCTTCTTCTGGGGTTGCTTCCCTCTTGCTCCCAGGAGGTCGTACTGCACATTCTCGATTTAAAATCCCTATAGTCATTGACGAGGCATCTATGTGTGATATCAAGAGAGGGACATTCCTTGCTGATTTAATAGTGCAGTGCTCTTTGATAATATGGGATGAAGCTCCAATGACTCACCGGTATTGTTTTGAATCACTAGACCGCAGCATGCGTGACATTCTTGGTAAAATAGATCCTTCATGTTTCAACAGGGTGTTTGGTGGAAAGACTATGTTGTTTGGTGGAGATTTTAGGCAAGTATTACCGGTAGTCGAGGGCGGGGGTAGGTTGGAGACGATAGATGCATCAATAACTAATTCATACCTATGGAGTCATGTTAATGTTTTACGTCTAAAGGTGAACATGCGATTGCTCGGGATGTTAGATAGCGGTTTACCGGCTAATCAAATAAAAGAATTTAATGAATGGGTGTTGAGTATTGGTGATGGTACTGCAAAAGGTAGTTCACAGAGTGATGATGGAGACTCCGAGTGGATAGAGATACCAAATGACATCTTAATTCCAAGATTGGACTCTGCTATAGATGATATTATTAAATCTACTTATCCAAACTTGGAAATATCATATTCCAATCCAATCTATTTAAGGGAGAGGGCTATTATTGCTCCAAAAAATGATACTATCGATGAAATCAACAGCCGTGTTCTTTCTTTGGTCCCTAGCCATGAAAAAAATTACCTGAGTTCAGATACTTTGGTTGAATCCTCGAGAGGACATGGTAATCTAGACTTGCTTTACCCTGTTGAGTTTTTAAATTCATTACAATTTAAAGGCATTCCTCCACATAATCTTGTATTAAAGATTGGAGCACCTGTGATGTTGTTACGTAACTTAAATCAAAGTGCTGGACTTTGCAATGGCACGCGGCTTATAATAACACAGCTAGGTGATCGAGTTTTGGAGGCTGAAATCATTACAGGTTCACATATAGGTCATAAAGTCCTTCTCCCTCGAATCGCATTGCATGTATCAAGCACTAAATGGCCTTTTGTTCTTAGCTGCCGACAATTTCCTGTTCGACTTTGTTATGCAATGACCATCAATAAGAGCCAAGGACAAACTTTGCAGAATGTTGGTTTATATTTGCCACGCCCAGTTTTTACTCATGGACAACTCTATGTGGCTATATCCCGTGTCACTTCTAGAAATGGGCTTAGAATTCTAATTGATAATGATAAGGATTCCACTTGTAGTATTACCCAGAACATTGTTTACAAAGAGGTGTTGCAATCTCTTTAGTATTTCTTCTTCCATGTTCAAGTTTGTTTCTTCCTCCTTACTCCTAATTTTTACCCCGATTTTGAGCCTCTATTTTTTTTGCAACCTTTTAGTGTTTTCTTGCTACATAGTCATCAGCTTTTCCTACCATGTACATCCCACATCTCGATTATACTAAATAACTAATTAATCAGTTTGTTCCTTTCCTTCTTGTCACTTAAAAGCTTCCGATGGAGTACAGTCTGCTATCACAAATTAATTCCACCAGGCATAATTGGCGTATAAAGGTCAGAGTTGCTAGGTCATGGCATCTATCTGGAACTTCCAAAAGAAGAGATTTTACTGCTTTGGAACTTATCTTGGTCGATGAAGAGGTACAAAATTGATCATATTAATTATATCAGTTTATTTACAGGACATGGATGACATTATTTTTATTTTCCATGGTATGGATTTAATTTCTTAGGGGGTAGGCATTACAGCTTGTGTGGGAGAAAATGAAATACAGAAGTTTTCAACGTCTATAGTGGAGGGACATGCCTACTTCTTACGGAATTTCCGTGTTAGTAGACAGACAAAAAAGCTCAATGCTGTGCCTAGCACATATGCCATCTTTTTTACACCATGGACTATTGTTGAAGAGATCCCTACAGAGATATCTGGCAGTCTTCCACTCTACATTTTTAATTTCGTGGACTTTGAGGATTTGGATGAAAGGGCAAGGCATCCAAATGGTTTAGTAGGTATGGATTTCGACCCTTTTTAGTATTATATTTTTATTTTCCCATCTACTTTTGTTATTTTTATAGTCAATGACATAGGTTCCTTTTGTTTTTTTTAAAAGATGTTATTGGACAACTCACGGTTGTGCACCCTCTAGTACAAAGCAACGGTTTGAATGGGCCATCTGTTAGGCGGAATGTGGAATTACGAGACCTTAGGTTTGTTTTCTCACAAATTATTTTTGTTCATGCCTTTTGGTTTCGAAAAAATAGCGTAGTGTTTCTTACCAATAATTTTACAGCGATCGGCTCTTGGAGATCACTTTATGGGCTGAGCATGCAACTTCTTTTGAAGATGAGTTCCTTATTGAAACTATTGGTAAAGATGAACCAGTCATAATTGTTTTTGCTGGCCTTAATATGAAACTATTCTCAGGTGAGCTTTAGTCTATATCATGCCGTGCGTTGTTGATTCATGCTATAAAATTAGATGATAGTTGTAAACAAACATATGTGTGTTTATAAATACATAGGTGCTCCAAGTTGCCGGAGCAGTGCTGCCACAAAATGGTACATTAACATTGATATTCCGGAGATTAATGCCTTTCGTACAAGGTAATGTATGCACTTTATTTGGTTACTATATATGGCACAATATTTGCCCATGATGTAATTTCCGCATCATTATGTGTTTATTCAGCCTGCAAGGAAGAGGTTGCGAGGTTCTTCTCGTACCTAGTGATGGTGCTGCACTAGGAGCGGCTAACGAGGCAGATGCTAATAGGAAGTCTATATCCGAGCTTTTATCCTTGAATCCTCATGACAACAACGTAAGCGTGCTTTGAAGATAGGTATAGTTTAAACTTTTATGTAATATATATTATTTTGAAATTGGTCCTCTATTTTGTTTTAGGATGTACGCTTCACTTGTGACGCACGTATAAAGGAAATTGATGTCTCAAGTGGTTGGTGGTATAAGGCTTGCAGTATTTGTAGAAAGGGTGTGAAGCCAACTCTTCAAGGATTTGAATGTGTTAACTGTGACAACACAGAGCCAATAATCACACCCAGGTATTGCTTATTTTTAATTACGGTGTAACACATGAAAGGGTAACTTGTCCTCCTTAAATTTGCTGACTTTTATTCACTATGCAGCTATAAGTTAAATGTTGTGATTGAGGACAACACTGACCGTGCAAAAATATTCATGTTTGGTGGTATGGCGGAGCAAGTTGTGCGACGAACAGCTGCCGATCTAGTTGAAGAAAGCTCAGCCAATCAGCTCTTACTGCCGTCACCCCTCCGTGCTCTCATTGGCCGTAGGTTTGTTTTCCAAATAGTTATAAGTGAGCAGACCTTTCGGACTGGACAATTGTGCTTTCAAGTAAGGAAAGTGTTTAATCCACCCCCAATCGATGGGCAAAACAATGGTGTTCATGCCACTCTTGGAAATAGTCTTAGCCATGCAACCTTAGCTAGAACGTCAGGTGCTCAAAAGAAATGTGATCCTACCCCTTTAATGGAGGCATCGGGGAGTAGCTCCAACAAAGCATCCACCTTGCAGACATATGGTGTAACTGAACTCCCAACAGATCCTAAAGGAAGCGCCACTCCACCACCTCCTTTTGCTCATGGGGCTATCACAAAAACATCACCACAGAAGGGGAATGAGATTTCTGAAGAACATGGGTATGCACCATATTGCTACTTCTCAAGCTACATGTAATTAATATGTTGTTACAGCCTCATAATAGACTCATCTTATAGTTAAAAAATATCATCCTATGCATTTATTATTCCTTTGGACTATCTTGTAATGCTAGATATTTATGCCGTAGAACTCCGGTTGGGAAACGATCTAGGTCTACTCGCAAGGAACTATTCTCCACGAAAAAAGTGAAGGCAAGGTAACTCGGTTAGTTTATATGGTATTAGTGGCTGACCATATTTAAATAATAACACAATGATTTAGATAAGATACAATGATTAAAAGTTGTATTTTTTGCAATTACAGTGATGATTGAGCTCACAGTTTGCTGATATGCACCCGTCAATAACCTACTACAACATCTTCGGCACAGCATCCAGTTATTGTCTACTCATATTGCCGAGTATTGCTCCTTATGTACATATTGGAATAAATGTCCTTCTATATTGTTGTAATATACTTAAGAGCTTGTTTGCAGTCTATATTAGGGTATATTTGTATGTTGTTTGGTAATGCAGTATGGACTAGGGAGTTCGCCTACTAGACCTTCAAGTATGTGTAGATTAATAAAATGTGCCATAGTGGTCTACCGGCGCCCTTGGTACAATCAGAAGTGAACTGGTTTATGTTTAGTGTCATGTAATAAAAAATACCTTTTCATCAACTAATAGTTCCCGTATTTACTATTTAACAAATATTACTTAAGTAGAACCAATTGGTTAATTCGTATTTAACAATCAAGAAGTTTCACGAAGGGTGTTTATGATCTTTATACATTTGAGGAATAAAAATGGTTCTTATTGGTTGATTAAAAAATGAACGGTTAAAGTTTTGTTGATGACGTGGACGCATTAATTTTGCATGAAAGGATTCAAATCATTTATTTATATATGAATTCTTTAGATGAACCCACTTGGATTTGCCTTTTCCCCTTAAAAAGGCGTACCACTACTAGTTTTGGAATATGATTTTAAAATTAATTTGTGATTTATTTATGACTTTTAAGCCATGTGCTGTTTTTTTCATGATTGTCGGGAGGGAATCATACCTAAAATACTTTCAACTCACATTAAATATTTTTTTTAGAAAAGATACAGTCCCAATATCCATTGCATGCTAATAATTAGTTAGACCACTACTTGCATGATTTGTGTCGGCAGATTGACCACTCAACCAGGACAGGCAGTTGCCCATGTTTCGTGTTCCTGTGTACATGATCTATTAATGTTGAGTTATTTCTATATACTGATTTGTTGTTTTCGAGGACAAAGTTAGTAGGTTAGACTTTTAACTAAGAAGCCTTCATACAAGCACAAAATCTTGCAGTCCAGTAGCATGCAGTTGAGCCATATACAGCCCTATGCATACCTACAAACAAATCAACGACAATAATGGAAGATATAGTCAAATGTGAAATGTGGATATACTGAACTAATTTATCTCAAAATGTTCTAGGTAAAGTATAAAATTAGCTCTCATATTACCAAATGCGTTGTAGCTAGCTTAGAGTCATCCTAGGGAACATGATGTTTTCACATGGGCTAACAGAGTGGAATGAATGAAACCTTGTCGGCGATGGTATTTTTGCGTTCGCCAATGGCATTTCTTGGAATAGGACGTTTGTTAATATCATTTGATGGATTTTCTCATTTATTTAGGCTTTTTCAGGCATCACAAAATTCGAATCTTTACCATTAATTACTTGCATGACCGCTGATTACTTCACTAAGTTCTAACTGATGTACTGTGTGCTTCCTAACTTTCCCATATATTTCTACATGGATGATAAACAAAACAGATGATAACAAATTATACTCCTAACCAAACACGGGTCATGTATAATCACTTTATCAAAAATGAATCAGCAAAAGATGATGGCTAGACGCCAATCCAGGTTCCAAATTTACAATCCAATAAAAAAAACGTCTTTCCCGTAATCAACTCACAGCCAAATGGGTACATAATCCAGCTCCAAATTTACAATACAGCGAAAAAAATATTCTCTTCACTGTAACCAACTCGCAGTGAAAGGGGCACATAAACACACAGGTGACGGCGCATAGGGGAAGTCATTGGGAGGACAACATCCATGACATCCAGCAAAAGAATAGGGAATGCAGCCTCAGAGAATACTAGAGCTGCACAGCTCCAGTGCGTGGGACATGAAACATTGATAGATCTGGCAGCGACGCCTACCGTCATCCATTCTTGCCCTCGGACACTAGCACGGTTGAGGATGGGATTTTGTTCCTCTACCAGTTGTCGGTTCACCCTCACAGCCGATGTGCTCCCTCACCTGCTCCTCCTCATGGTCATTGTCCTGCATGGCCTCATCCGTGTGTCGCTTCTCTCCTCGATGGCAGTCCGTCAGGGTCTGCTTCGCTCATCGCTTCCCAACGCTCACCACAAGCCCTACTTCGACGCTGAAACCTAATGGTCGATGTGCTGGGATTGGAGATGCTTCGAGGTTTGTCCTAGGTCGCCGTCGCAAACTCCCCTTGCAGCCATTGTCTGGCTTCCTTCGCGCCGAGGACGGCAGACAACGTACGTGTTCCTGGATTTTGCTCTCTTTTTTTAAGGCAAAATTTGCCAGAGCGCTTCCAAAAAACGTGTGATTAGCTGGTGGGCACCATAAGAACGAGAATTTACTGTTGGGCATCACGAAAAACGTGTAATAAGTTAGTGGACAATTGTAACATTACTTTATTTTTTTCGGTGGAATTGGAGAGAGAAACACTAAATAAAGACAATTTTGCCCTTGGTCGTGCTTATTTCAACCCGACTAGGTTCGGTCCAAACCAGATAGCGTAAATTGATCCCCATCCCAAATCCTAGCTTTTGACCGGGGAGGCGAACAGTGTCTGCGGTGGTGGTGGTGGCAACGACTGAGGCGCTTGGTTTCAAGCTGGTAGCGGTAGATCTCAGCTGGTAGATGGAGGATTCGTTCTACGCGGGGTCTTCGTCAGTGCGAAACCCTCACACCAGTAAGCTGCCCCTGATTGCATGCCCGCTGTGTTGTACCGGTACGCAGCTAGAGCTAAGGACTTCAAGGACTCCGGCAAATCCAAACAAGAGGTTCGTGAAGTGTCCCAGGATTGAACATGTAAGTATTGTTCTTGATGTTGTGACTTTTTTTTTGATTTCTCGAATTGAAGAAGGTTTAGTGCTGATTGTTTTCGTTGATTATTATGCAGACAGAATGGGCATGCAAGTTTTTCATGTGGGAAACTCAGTATGAGCAGTTGTTGAAGGATATGCAAGCTGGTAATCGTCAAGCAGGGAGACTTGTGTTGAACCATGATGGGGGGAAGCCATGGATGGGTCCTGTTGTGCCTGATTTTAGGGTTGGAGAAAGAGTTTTGGTGTACCTAGGAGTTTTGCAGGCTCTGTTGTTGCTATTGATATTGGTGGTGGTCATTAGTAAGTAGTGAAGAGATTAGTAGGCAGTACGTAGAAGTAAATGTGCTTTGAACAATGCTCTGAATTGTAATGCCTTAAAATGTTTGTTTAAGTGTGTTAACCAGTATGAAAATATTTTTGCATTTTGACAACAGTGAGGAGGAGGGCTGCTCCCACGGGTTACATTGTGGCCCGATGCCCCTGCACTTTTCACCCCGTGAATTCCGTCACCCATTAATTGGTTCCTCTTTGCCATTCTGGACGCTGCTGAGAGACGCCCATGCACAATTTTTGTGATTCTTTTTTACTCTATGCGTGTGATTCCCAGTATGATTGCTTGCAATAAGACCCATATGGCAGCAAAATTGCAATTTACATATCATAGTGGAATAAAAAAATTACACTTGATTTATTCTTGTCCAACCCAAGCAAATATGTGCCGTGTTGATAAAAAAATATTAAATAATAGGTACAGAAATTAAACGTATCGATACGTGTTAGTAAAAAAAAATCGCTTAAGAATGGATACAAAAGTCATATGTGTTGGTGAGAAATTCACTATAGATACAAAGGTTATACCGTACACACACACACACACACACACACATATATATATATATATATATATATATATATATATATATATTAGCATTCTTATTGCATGTAAATTGCAAAGTTACTACGCGATGGCCGTTGTGTTGTTGCATCGTTTTTGCAAGGTGAAGACATCTAAGAGGTGAGTGCGGGGGAAGTTAGTAGGTGGGTTTCACTGACGTGAGAGGATTTTGACCATCCTTTCACTGAGGTGGAAGTGGGTTTTGGACCCTAGAAAAGCAGGGGGAGTGGGTTAATTTGTCCCTTAGAAGGAAATGGGCATAAAAAAGCTATTTTATATCTGGATGTAAAATAGTTTTGTATCTAGAATTTATATTCACAAAGAAACATACCAATAAGTATTTTACAGCATAGATTATCCTTACTAAACATTGATTAAGGTACATTACTGGAGCAACATAGACGATAATCACATACTCACATCCCACTAGACATGCATGAGACTAACACCAAAGCAATTTAGATTGCACAAACACCTACATTTCATACACCAATGAAAAGATGCAACCCTTGGTTTCAACAATGGATAAGAACAACATCCCTGCATTCTACAACATTCGCTCAGTTGTGTCTTGCAAGTCTGCAGTTCCTGCAAATGCTGTTTCACCAATCCACTCACCAAGGTGAAACACATCAAGCAGTATGGAAGCTGCAGTACCAGATACATTATTGCCATTGTTTAGACCAAAATAGCTATTACAAATTTGATTGCATGTATCCTCAGTGGAGGTCATATAATCCAAGGTAATCTGCCAGCCCCTCTTGAAAGCAGAGCATGCATGCATTGCAGAATCACGCTTTTCAACTACCTTAGATATAAAACGTCTTAGCTTCCTACAATCCTTTCTGTAATAAGCACACTCCATATAGTTATCATCCACTACAACGACCTTTCTTTCTTTTTTCAGGTGGGCTAAAAGTGATGCAGCAACTTTTTCCTCGGCATTTGAAATCTCAGTATCCATATCACCATCTACTCTAATGGTATCCAGCTCAAGAGAGCTTGTACTCTTGGAAATATGAACTACCGCACTGGCCACATGACCACGACCAATACGCCGAACTTCATATATAGGATCTGACCCTCTAAGCTTTTTCATGACTTCAGAAACAAGGAGCTTGGAAGTAATAGTGACATACAAAGTTCCCTCTGAATGAAACACACCAGCATTAGATTCATCACTTTGGTAAAATTTATATAATAGCAAGACACACCCACGACGAGAATACATAGAACCAACTTACTGTACACAACCACCCAGTTATGCATTCATGTATATAAAAATAAGAAGAAATCAGCAAGGTATGCAAACTTCACGTATTATACCTGCAACTGTCATCTCTGGTATATGAAAATCTTCAAACTCCGATTCCCAGCTTTCTCGAGTAGTATTAATCTCCTCGGCTGGATTGTCCTCAACACTAATATTGCTCTCATCAGCCATGCTCTTCTTCCTGAATAACACTTGCCAGACCAACTACTCGAAGGACACTCACTATATATAAGCAGCACTGCAAACTAATGAATATAGTATATGAGAACATATACTATGCACACAAACCTTCTCGTGTACACACTGTGCACACTAACTAACAAATTTTACTAGAAAAATTAAGAAAAATTGTACAAGTACTTCCAATAGTATTACGTTTATGCGTAAATTCTTAACTTTAAATTCATTATATTTTAGACATAACAAAGAAGATAAAAATTCTAACAGTTTAATTTGAGAGTGTAAATCTGACATAATCTTGTTTTTTTTTGCTCCCTATATATATAATGAATTTGAAGACACAGAAAACGGATGGGGAGACTACCCATCTGGACAAAATAAATTGTTTCATCGTGGTCAAATTATATATTTACCCATTTAAATGTTTCACGGACATGGAACATTGGAACATACTAACTTCAACACTGATGCCCACATTTTTTAATTAACTCAGAAAATTATAGCTATTTTTACCCTCTTATGGTTAGCATGGGGACTTCTATGAGCTCCAAAATGAATATAGTAAAGATTGTTCTGTTTAGCATGATGCATCAATTTAATTTTGTCCTGATATACATTTACTCCCTTCGTCCCAAAATAAACCAACTCCTGGAGTTTGAAATTTGTCCCAAAATAAACCAACTTCTACTCTCTTATCTACATTGGTTGGTAAATCTAGAAATTTTATTCATATCTCTCCTTAAATATATCTTAGAAATCTAGGTTTGATATTTGTGGGACAGAGAGAGCAGTTAATATTGTGACTATATTAGCTAGATTGCCATAGCGATCCATAATATTATTGTTTGGAACATATGATGGATACTTGCCTGTTTTACATATGATGGATGCTTGCCTGTTTGGGCGGTGCATGAATGCAGGGTGCTACTGTTTGCGGAAAGAGACTGACCATGCATGCATGATACTACTGTTTATAGAAAGAGACCCATGGGCTGGATGCATGAGGAATTAGGCAGCTTCCTTTATAGGAGATGTACGAATCGACATTTATATGAGATGACCCGTCAGCATGTTCAGTGATATTCATGTCCATGCACTTGCTTCTGTACATGTATGCGAAAAGCATGGGAGGTGCAGAGAGAAACTTATCTCACACTTATATTTCCTTTACATGTACGCATAAGAGAAGCAAGCTGCAGGCATAATAATATTCTGTATATATGAAGCATGATTCAGGAGTAAAATATTTTCCTGAACATGTTTCTAACATGAAATCAGTTCAAACATGCCATCATTTTATTCTCTAATAAAGAAATAATAAGATCATAATGAGAAAATGGTGATTTGGTTGGTAGTCTTAAATAATTGTATTTTGATTTACTGATATGATTATTTAGGAGAACACAAAATTATTAAGATTTTATTCACATCAGGCAACCTCATATAATGCTCAATAAGTAAATCAAATTATTGTGGCTTTAGTATAACTAGGAAGTTAGCCCGCGCATTCGCTCGGGCATGTATCGTAGGTTGTGCTTGAAAAACGTACTACGGCAAATAATATCATCCGGATGGCACCTATTACACTTCTAAAGCACTATTTGTTCTAAAAGTTTTCTTCCCAACATATCTAGATTTTTTCCAAACTATTTGTTAGCTAAATTTTGAGATGGAGGTACTATATAATATTTAATTTATTCCTATAAAAAATAGCTTTGTATTTCATGCAACTCATAAGCTCATCCAATCCACACTATCTAACGGAACCTTAATTTGTGCATAAAACATGTCTAACAAATTAATTGTAAATTAAAATGTAAGGTGTTTTATCTTTTTAATTGAATGTTTAAATGCTCTCTTTTTTAACGTAAATCTTGAAAAACTATTGCTAATAAATGAGTTCTAAAGCTAGCCCTCCTACTAATTGATTGGTATTGACACAATTTGTTTACATACTTCTCTACTATTATAAAAATTGAATATATTTTTGCCGGTATTTTGGTACGTCATCCGTGTATGAGTCGGTTTTTAAGTTCATTTGCTTTTGGAAATATATAACCGTATTTGAGTCGGTTTTTAAGATCGTTCACTTTTGGAAATATAGAAGAAATCATATAAGTAATCGTTCACTTGAGACGATCGGACTCCTAACTACAGCTCATGATTTTCTAAAAATATATATATCCAAGCGAACTTCCACAGTGAATTTCATCTTAACTAAACCATATAACAAAAATAAGATTAAAATAGACTTCACCCGTTGCAATGCACGAGCATTTTTTTCTAGACAGAAATATACATATAAATAAAGACAAAAATATACATATTATATAATCCCTCTGTCCCAAAATATAACAACTTTTAGCCATTAGGATTTGTCCCAAAATATAACTAACTTCTCCACCAACATTTTCTTTCTAACCAATCACAACCCTCCACCACTCACTTCTACCTACTTTCTTAATAACCGTGTCTAACTCTAAAACTTCTTGTATTCTAGGAAGAAGGGAGTACCTCACTTCCCTATGGTGGCATGATATATATTATATTTTTATAAAAAAAAGACTTAGTCAACATTAGGCCTAAAATTTAAATTTAATATTAATAAATATAACTTTTAAACCAATTATATATTGCTACTTTGTGTGGCTCTTATATGCAATAAAACATGGAGAAAGAATAGATAAAAGCCATTAATGTCAAGCACGGAGGAATGGTTATGGCCATGAAAAATATCATGGTTGTTCCGATTGAAGTAAAAAAACAATTCAAGTGAAAACTGATGATAATTGCTTTTTTTTCTTATTTTTCTAAAAATTTGTAAGTTTTGTTTTGTAATTTTAAAGATGTAATTGACACATGCCAGCTTAAGATTTTTTTAAACTTAAATCTAATGGCATATGTTCGCCGATTTAAATCGAAACTTATGGTCAGATTTTTTTCCTCCTCCGAATTTGTAAGATTTTATTATATTTTTAAGATGTGACACGTGGTGACTTAAGATATAGTACATATTATCATTTTTTTAATATGTTTTATAGTTACTCCCTCTGTTCCAAATTATAAGGCCTATATTTTTTCTACACGGTCTTCAATAACATACTTTAACCAGTATTTTATTTCATTCTATGGTCCCAACAAATATGAAATTAATATCACATGAAAGTAGTTCAAAAATATGAATCTAGTAATATAACATGCATAATACTTAGTATAGATATAGTTAGTATGATTATTAGTACTATTATTTCGTTGCCATGCAAAGCATAGTCTATGTTCAAATGGTGTAGTTTAATTTTTTATGTAGTAAAATATGAGTAATATGGATCTTAAGTTATTTATTTAATAATAAATGAAACAGGATGCCCTAAAATTCGGTTATAACAAATCATTTAGCTTTCTAATTGTTGATCATTTTTATATCAACACTACTAGAGAAGTGATCTTTGCTGGGTCGGCTGAAAACCACGGTTCCAAAAGGAACCGGGACTAAAGAGGTTTTTTAGTCCCGGTTTATTACTCCAAAGGGTCTAAGTGATCTTTAGTCCCGCGGCCACGTGGCTCAGCCATCTTTAGTCCCGGATTCTCTCTCCCGGATCGCTACCCGGAACTAAAGGGGGTTGCGAATTGGGAGAGATGTGCAGTGCAAGTTGCTAGTTGAAAATATGTGGGAAGGAATTGAATGAGAGTGAAGAGGAGGGGAGATGAGAGTTGAAGGGGAGATAATTTGAGTTGGGTAAGAACTAATGGTATAAAATAATGTATTAATAGGGACTATCTATATATGTCGTCATATTTTTTATGAAAAAATAGTCAGCATATATTTATATTTTTATAAGTTTCCAAAATTACATATGTAATTAGTATGTAATTATAGTGTAAGTAGGATGTAATTATGGTGTAACTAACATGTATATTAAGTACTGATATACTGTAATTAGTATGTAATGAACAACAATCATAAGAAAAAAAATGAAGCTAATCAAAAAATGGCAAAGGATTAGCGAATAAAAGGAAAGCTGCAACCCCACCAGTAACGGAATCAAGCATGTATCCCGCCGTAGATTAAGCCATCAAGGGCTAGATATCTATCTACTTTCAGCCAAAAAAACATGCGACACATATATATAGCTGATCCGATGAACTTTGATAAAAAAAAGGGTTAGCTTACAAACATAATGTGTTTTAATTATTGTTTTTTTACTAACTGAAAAATAGAGACTAAGAACTTTGTTGATTAATAAAGATCTATATTTTCTTTACTTGTCTTTTCCTGTAATATATTAATAGTATATATGAAAAATATGAATACATAAAATGGTTTTCATGATAAATCTAATAATGTTATTTTGACTTATAATAATTTAAGAATGGGGGAGTCATTTCTTAGATCATCACACATAGTAAGATTTATTTTAATTTTATCATTCTTGATCTGATTTAATTATTGCGAAGTTATGTATGATGATAGAATCTACATCATTATTTTATTTTTATTTTAATTTTTATAAGTTTTTTAATATTTTAATAAGTGTTTTAGTGCCACTCAAAAGTCAGAAAATATAACCCAACGGTAACATATTATTTTTTGAAAGTAAGAATGTAGTGGATATAGGTCTTTACCCGTAATTTAATCATAAGCAAACTAACAACAAATTAACAGATGATTTTAAAAAATTATCGGTTTCAAAAAATTAGCGCTATGATTTAAATGTTATAGTTGTTTAAATTTGCTTTACGACATGCGTAGCATATATATAGGTCATGGACAATGACGTACTTTAAGTAGGGTAACTCATCAAGCTTAAGTAGGACATCCTGAAGACCTGAACAATTCAACACAGATTTAAATTAAAAAGGAATCTGTTAGATAGCATATATATGCTTCTACATCCGATGGAAGAGTAGTGGGCCCACTGAACTGAAGTTATACGTACTCAATCTTGTACACGACACGTATGTGGAGGGGAGAGGGATGTACGCATGTTAACCGGAGCTAGGGGATGAGATTTGATCTGATGGCTGAAAATAATGGGTCCATCAGATTAAATGAAAATCAACGATTAGATGTTTTGCTTTTTCTCAGAATTCTTTTAATTTATTAAAGCGCCACATGGCGACTTGGGAGCGTTTTTAGAGTGACACATGGCGGTTTAGGAGCGTTTATAGGATGTTTCATGGACTTTTAATATATAATAGATAGAAGATAATAGATAATAGATAATAGATAGATAGATAGATAGATAATAGATAGATAGATAATAGATAATAGATTTGGAGCACCCGGCTAATTAATTTCACGAAGTTAAACGGCCTGTACTGGTAAACATAACATTAATCTAACCTTTGTGGATAAAAAAGTATTTATCAATTATCATTATATTGTTATCAGGCAAGAAAACGAAATTGATAGCGGTACGATATCATCAATCTTCCATCCTTTATAACATTGCACGGGTAAATAATTGCCGCAAGATTGAAAAGTTAGTTGTGCCATCGTGAGTGATTCTTTTTTATAAAAAATTAAGTTCATGCTCGCATGGTGACTAAATCACCCATGAAGATTGCTAAAGCTGAATATGCCAGTATATGATACTACTACGTAACCTCATGAAAAAAAGGGAAGGGCTATAGAGAGAGCTTAACCTGGCTATAATGCCACACGTTTACTACCTGGCTATATTGTTGTACGATCAAGCATGTGTAGATTGGACATATATGTAGCATGCATGCTCACCTGCTATACCGATTGGAGTGTTCTGTAAGACTGTATTTGCACAGTGTACTCCATGTGCTCTATCGATTGAACTGGATGCATGTTTTGGTCTGAATAAAGTGCGCGCTCTCTCTCTCTCTCTCAGTCTTGGACTGCATGCATGTTTTTTGTCAGAATAAAAGTATTGCTCTATCCATTGGACTGCATGCAATTTTTTTTGGACATATTAGTAAGCTTGTAGTAGGTTGCTCTCTCATCGTAAATTGGAGACAATTTAGAACCCTCCATATTTAAATAGAATATTTACAGAGAAATTTACCAGCTAGAAAACATGTAGTAGCAGTAATTTTAGATTACATTTTTATGGGAAAACACATACATCTAATACTAATGTTACATATGGAGCACGTTCGTCCTCAACAAAGCAAAACAAATGAGCACTTATGCTTGATTTGTCAAGAAAACAACATATATTTTATTCGTTCTTATTCTTGGCTTCTGAAAGTTGTCTTTTTAGAGCACGCAGTTCTGCCTTTAACTCATAGTTCTCGATGATGAGATTATCTTTCTCTTCCTTATCTGCCTTCCAGCAATCTACGTTCTCTTGCAACTCAACAATTTTCCTCTGCAGCTCACAGTTCTCTACAAGTAACTTAGCACGGTTTTGTTGCAAAAAGAAGAAATCTCTCTCAAGCTCATCTCTACCTTCCACAACTTCCTTGCATACTGTAGTAACCCTTATGACTCTCTTCTTCCATAATTTCAAATCACGCCGGCTGTAATCACTAATCTTAACAAGGCCACATTTTTCTAGCCTTTGGACAGCGTTACGAGTTGCTTTTCTCGTAGCTCTTCTTGAAGAGATAGGTGATGTTCCTATAAATTGTCTTGGACCTCGGAATCCTTTAGACACCCAGTTTACAAGATCCACTTCAATAAAGGAATGGAATATCCCATCCGCACTTTTCTCGTGTGCCATTGTTGGTTTCTCAAGACCGAGCTGATCCACAATTTTCATTAGAATCCTTGCATAATTTAAAGTTACTTGAGCCATGACGAATCCTTCAGAAAAAATTGTGTAGAGCTTTTAATGACAATAATGCCTAAAATTTTATTAAACATAAATAAAAGGTACCAATTAATTGCGTATAAATTATTTAGCCTCCTTTTTTTGAAAATTGGGAGAGAGGTATGGCGCACACTATGACAGAAATGTTTAGAAAACATACCTTGCTCCCTACTCCTACTGAACTCCAGGCTGCATGTAGGCGTGGTAGCTCTCTTGCTCCTTCAACATCAAGTATGCCCTTTTTATAGAGCCTGCTCGGTGAAGTTACTTAATTAGACAATTCAATTTTTGATGAATTCAAAAGTTCTCCTACAAGAGGGGTACATGTAGCAGAGTCATTCTACACGATCCTACTCCAAGCTTCATCAATACGTTTTGTCTGTATACTAACAAAATTGATAGGTCATGTCAATGTGGCTGCTATCATATCAATGGTTGCACGCACCGCTGCCCGTTCTAGCCATTGGCATAGTCTATCTGTCTTATTGATCTATACACTATCCATTCCATAGGCTGTGTTTAGTTCCATGTCAAAATTAGAAATTACAAGAAATTAGAACGATGTGACAGAAAGGTTGAAAGTTTGCGTGTATAGAAAAGTTCGAAAAGTTGAAAGTTTGAAGAAAAAAGTTAGAATCTTAACAGGGCCATAGTCTATCTATCCTATCTATACAGAGGGATTGGCATGACATGCATGAACTGAACTCTCCTAGATCTATTTATAGAACAACTTTCTCACCATACTTCGCATTCATGGCCATCGCTTGAAGTCTAGCACCCCATCATAGGTAACTCACCATTTGGAAAATCATGCTATGCTTTATATATCGATCAAATAAAATAAGAGCAGAATATGCATTATATATGTCCTCCCAATAGTTTCATTAAGACGGTGCAATGGTGTCCTTCATTAACTCTCTATATATTACTATTGTTAATAATACTTATCTATGCCTGTTACATAATTTAATATTTCCATGTTTTCCCATATTTTTAAGGGAATTGGATTATTTGTGTTTTGATATCTGTCTGGTCCTTTTCATAACTAATTAATTATTTGTACATGCGTGAAGATATTTTCTTAGTTACTTTCCACTTTATTTGTAAGGAAAGATGAGCTCACCTGGCAATAGTGCGATGGACAAGGGCAAAGGCATTGTTGAAGAATCATCCATGCCTGCTCAGGACAACGATCAACCAAATCATTTGTTCCTCGGTGTATTTATTCCTCATTTTCATTTTGCTAGCAACTAATTAATTTCCTTTCTTTAATAACATTTATTATTTTGGTATGCAGTACGTACTTATATACTATATGAGCCTTGATATTGTTATAGCTTAGCTAATATTTGTTATAAAATGAATTAATCAGCATATAGAGAAGATTATGGTTTTGCCACCTGGTCGCTAAAATGTTTCACCTACCAATTAGTTCCTCAAGTTGCTTAATAATACATTTAGGATTTATATCTCTTTTTTTTTTACTTAGGAACGACCCAAAGTCATCTACATCTCACGTAAGAGCATCTTAAGGCAAATTACTTGCAAGTTAGGTGCAGTTATTCGCACCGAAGGAATAGTGAAGCTAGGGGAAACTCAAAGGCTAGCCTGGCTACAGGTGGAGTTTCCTCCGCCGAACAAAACTGGGCGTGTAATAGTGGAAAAGTTTTGTGGAGTTCCTTGCTTGAGTGATTATGATGCAGAGGAAAATGTTTCTGAAAAAGCAATATATTATTGCATCATCCACATGAATATACATGTTAATGATGTGAACTATGTTGCCTTTAAGGAAACAATTACAAGTCTGGTCCATTATACCGATTGGGTGGAAGTTCTCCATATTAGATATCAAGAGCTGTTTGCTGAAAAAACACGGCTATTCGACGCTCACACCGAGATCTTCTGAGGCAGCTGAGTTCAATTTGTAAAAGTTATGATATACTTCCACTGGCACCGTCTGCTCCACCAACAGAACCACCAAGTTTATATGCTGAACCACTTATGTACACTGGACCAATACCACCAGAAAAACCGCTTGAAAAGTTTGCCAGAGAATTACTCAACATCATCCAAGACTTCATGCCGAATGGTAACGCAACATAAATTATCAGGTATGTGTTTTATCTATCTGTAAACTTTATTTTATTATAATTATATTAAAAAAAGTTTACATATTTTTCAGCAGATATCATCTGAAACATTCCTAATAAAAGCTTATCTTTTCAGGACTGTCAGACTGCCAATGTCCTATGAGAAATGCTGGAACTGTGTTTATTGTAATTGTAATGCAATATATATTCTAGCAGCCACCATCCAAATCAGTATTGCAGTTGCAATGTAATATATATTCTAGCGATGCACGGTAGCTCTAGTATCCACCATCCAAATTAGCACTGCAATTGTAATGTACAATATATTCTAGCAGCACACAGTAGTTCTAGCAGACACCATCAAAAAATAGCCCATGCACTAGTTTCCTTATAGAGGAAATTCGTTGTTCCATATAAAAGCATGGGAAGGTGGCCAGTATCCCACTATTATCTTGTAATATTTGGTACGATCTATTGTACTTGCAATTGATATGCCTATTCCTACAAGAGTATAATATGTTATATTAACGAAGACATCTTATTAGCTTGCTTAGAAAGACCAAATCGATGTCACAATGAGGTGGGCATATCTGCTTTAGCATGTTCCCTGTAAAATTATGTGTATATAATGACTAAAAAATATTCTCGTCACATTTAGTGTACAATGTATTGATATTATGCATGTATAAAAGAACACTCTTGTTCTTAGGTGTATCATGCAACAAGGTAATTGATACACTCATTGCTTGTGATCGAATAATCGTGTATATATGTATACTAATATATATATATATATATATATATATATATATATAGAGAGAGAGAGAGAGAGAGATGGCCCTCTTAAAAGTATACGACTACACTTAACATTACTTTGTAATTATAGTCAAACAACCTAACATGTATATGCTTCCCAAGGGTTTGTATCGATCTGTCTTTGGGCTCAACGGCAAGCTTTGCTGTTGCATCTATTTAAGCCACCTATCCTGTAGTCGATGGCTGAAAGCATCGGCCTCACAAAATTTAGTAATTACTAGCAACTAGAATCAAACGTTCTATCAAAAATAATAACCAAACAAATTCTGGCACTTGGCAGCAAAAAGCGAAAAAGTATTATCTTGTTTTTTTTCTTAATCCTATAATTTCTTTTTTTTTTACCTACACTTGTAGTATACTACTTCATCCTGGTATTCATATTCTGATATGTTACTACTAGTGTCTTCGATAAAGTGATAAATCAATATTCTTGCCTCTTGGACAATATATATTCACTAAATGTCAGGTATTTGTATGTGGTTTAAAAACAAGGTATTTGTATGCGGTGAGTCGATCTTTTTTGGCGTTTACTACAGTTCGAGCATCTTGATGGCTTTGCCGCTGGAAATTTGTTTATTGGTGTTTTTTCTCGAGAAAAATACCTGATTATTCCGGTTAGTTATTAGTTTCTAATTAGCCAATGGAAGCAGCCTTTGATCGCAGGATGTATGGGTCTAGATAGGAGCAACGACAAAAGCTTGCCGTTGAGCCCGAAGACAGACGATCCGAACAGGCTCCCAAAGTTACTTATGCTGTTCCATAATAATCACAACTCAAATTATAACACCTTCCTCAGTAAAAAACAAATCTACGTTCTACCATCCCAGCAATGTTATAGAAAAGACGTCGCAATTTAGAGAGAGATTTTTTTCGCTACCGTTATCTTATTCTCTCGTGTCGCTTTAGTCGCCCTCCACTCCAACTCCTGCGATCCTCTGCTGCTCGCCGACCCAATTTCACCTTGTAATCAAGCCCAATTCAAAGCGCAGCGGAAACGCCCAAATCGAATTGTCATCAGTCGCCCATCCCATCATCTCTGCTTCTGTCTCCCTTGAGCTCACTCAAAGCACGGGGCGCCACCCCCATGGCGTCTGGCCTCTCCTTCCCCTCGGCGCCGCTGTGGCGCTCGATCGGCCCGATCAGCCTCCGCGTCAGGACACCGTCGCGCCGGGACAAGCAACCCCACATGTGCCTCCTCTCCGCTGCTGGTAGCCAGCCTCTCGCAAGCTTCCTTCCTGCACTGAGGACAGTGTTACACTGCCGCCGGCCTGCTCCGTCGCCGTGTGCCCGTGCGTCGCCTCGTTTTGGCTAGGCACGAGCAGGCTTAAATAGGAGAAAATGAGAAAAGAAGAGCAGCGGAAACAGGAAAGAAACGGAAAGGAAAAGGTGGGACCCATGTAGGTTTCCTCATACCTTTGTCATGTGGGACCCACATCATCCAAGTGTTCGTGCACCCGGTCTGCGTTCTTTCTGACACTGACCAGTTAACCCCTTGCACGATCCACTTCATGGTCTACGTGGGCTGTTTAATGGCAGCAAGGCCCCACCCGACCACATATCGATCTTTGGACTATGAGTCGAGTCTACCCCATCACCAGCTTGGTAGACTCGGTCTACCATGACTTCGGGATATTCTTTTTCATAATAATAAACCTTTTTATTTGTCCATAAAATTGTTTTCAATTCAAAATGATATTTCTTGAACAGTATATCCAATTGACTACGTAACTTAGTATCTATTTAATGATACTATTAGTTCACAATAGTTATTATAACTTCCAGATTTATTTAACGAAGTATTAGAAAACACCACAGACCTGGATTTCCTGGAGATTTGAAGAACAATGGCAAGGCAAACCACCTTTCGAGATACCAAAAATTTAGTGTAAAAATTTGGTACCTCATGGTACCTCATAGTACCTAGGTACCAAGAAGTATCAAATTTACAATAGAAAAAATGGTATCTCATGGTACCTCCTTAAGGACCGTAAAATTACTCTTTGCTAAAACAAAACTATTTGTGAAATACCTCTACTATCTTCTCTCAAGACTGGTTTATAAAACGAGTTTTACCAGCTAAAAGTACAACAGCCTTAGCCACGTATCCTCCCTAAATTCTTTCTTAATAGAAAGGTTATAAGTTCGATTAAGATGGCACTTTAGAACCAAAACAAAAGAGGACACAGTACTCTTAACCCTGATGCCTATTCAATACAAATGGCATGACAGCGTGCTTGTTGTTTTACAAAAGTGTTTTTCCTACTCGCTCTCAGTCAGACCCCAAACCCCAAA